TCCCTTTACAGCACATTGGAAAGAAGAAGGACGAAGCGTTAGAGGCTACGTACTTAAAAATCAGTAAATATTTCTCCGAGTATTTCTCATTGCTTTTTAAGAATCGGAAGGCTACCCTGGTAGGGGATACAAAAATGTGTACACTTGTTTTGACACCTCTATGTGAAAAACGTCCCTTTGTTTGGCGCACCAGACAGGACGCAATACAGTTTTACATGTGCATTCGAATGGTACCCCCTTCGCAGGTGCTTAAAAAAATGAGCGAACAGGAGTACAAGGATATCCTGAAGGAGGCCAGTGAGAAAAGGGCGAGGAAAAAGATGATCGACGATGAAGGTGAGCAGAATGGGTGCCCTGCATGACCGATGGTGGGGCACACATGCCCGCGTACTTCCCCAAACGCATGCATCTGTCTATTTTTATGTACCTACCCGTTTCCTCATTTGCCCATTTTCCCACGCGGACCTCCCCCTAAATAGCCTACGTTGACAAAATTACCGGCATCTCGATCAATATCACTTCGAACGAGGATGAGAAAATGAGTTACACGATTCAGGAGTTGTCTGGTAAGGGGACAAAAGTGCACCGTATTATTGGGGCTTTTCCATCTATATGCGCTTGTGCCACTCTGCTGTGCATTTCTTCGATAGCTGCACGGGAACCCTTAGCCCACGTTGCCCCCATTTTGTATCCTCTCTGCCCATTTTGTGTCTTCTCTGCCCATTTTTCCCCACTCAGGAGGAGAGCGCAGCATTGTGGCCATTTGCTTATTTCTTTGCCTGAACAAAATCGACAACTTTTCCTTTTTCTTTTTCGACGAAATTGACGCGGCCCTGGACACAATTCACCGGGACAACCTCTCGCTCCTGTACGGCCAAACGGAGAAATGGCAACTCAGCTTTTTCTTCACGTGCGCAAAGGGAAAAAATGCCCCCCCACACGGGTGCGATTGTGGCAACGTTTACACCTGTGCTTTATTTATTTGTTTATTTATTTGTTTATTTATTTGTTTGTTTATTTTGTTTTTTCCTTGCCACAGCCTGCGGGAGTTGGCCCAAAGAGGAACCCAGTTCATAATCACGACATTCAGGTGGGAGAGAAGGGGACTCAGAAAAATGGAAAAACAAACGAGTCATAGGAGCGACTCATAGGAGCAACTCATAGGAGCAACTCATACGGGCGACTAAGACAAACGTCGAGCAAATCGTGCCACGCCGTTAAACACACACTGAAGGAATTGCTCCCTCTCCCAATACACCCATTTCATTTTTCTTTTTTTAGGAAGGAGCTCCTGGAGTACTGCGAAAATATGTACATCGTCAGGATAGTGGACCGCGAAAGTTACATTGCCAGGGGGACGAAGAAGGAGGCCTACGAAATAATCAGCATCGTAATGCCGCGCCACACCACGCGAAAAAATAATTAAAGCGCGCCAATAAAAAAGGAAAAAAAAACAGCAAAAAAAAGAAGAAAAAACGGAAAAAACGCCACTGCGATACAATGGCAAAATGAGCTAAGCACTTGGCATGTTGGCCCCCCTTTTTTTCAAATAAAGACATTAAGGAGATGATCGCACGCCCCGAATACACAAGTGGCGAACTCCAAATAAACGCACTGCGATACGCGGTGTACGCCAAATCCACTTCATTTATTTTTACTCTTTCAGGAGGAAAAGAATGCTATAGAAAATTAAAGCATTCCCTTGGACTAAGCAGAACAGCTCCTACCCCCCTTCTCTGTTTTTTTTTCTTTTCTTTTTTCTTTTTCCACGTCCACTTGTGCGTACACGTACGTATGCAAATTTTACATTCACGTTTGTTATGTACCTTTTATATGTCCCTTTCTTCATTTACGAAAACTTAAGATGGGTCACTTTTTTCTAATTTTTTCCCCTTCTACATGTCCACTTGTTTTCTTAACTTAAAAACCGCAAAGGCACAATTTTTACCACATGTGGCATGTACGCCACCTATGTGCGTAAAATCGCCCTGAACAGTTGCGGCAATGCGGCAGGAGTGCCATCACAGGCGACCAACATTTTCTTATACTGCAAATGTGCAAGAATTGCTTTCTCACATTTTGTAGCTTTGTAGCCCACATTTTATAGCCGACATTTTATAGCTCACGTTTTTTCCCCTTGATTCCATTTCCTTAAACCCACTTCCATTAACCCACTTCCATCAACCCATTCCATCAACCCATTCCATCAACCCACTTCCTTCATTTTTCCCACTTGGTATACAAAGCTAAACGTGTGTGCAAAGAACACTTTTTCGCTCGCTCCACGCCGCGGAAAGGTTACATTCGTTCTGGAAGAAAAAGGGAAAACATTCCAAACTTACTGAAGTCGAACCGGATAGTCAAAATAGAGTGCCATCGAAACAATAGCGTCAACGGAAGCGTACCGCGCGGTTTACTCTTTGCCTCAGAAAAGGAACAATCTCTTTTTTTTTTTTTTTTTCCATTTTCTGCGCATCCGAAGGATACGCCAACTGCGAGGAGAAGAAGCATGACCGACATTAAAAGCGTTCTGGCTTCCATTTCGGCCAGCATCCGCGAGCCGTCGAAGGATGACGTCATATACTTGGACGAGTGCAGCGTGACGTAAGAAGCGCAACGTTGAAAGAGGGCCAGAGGGGCGCCGTGTACATGCGTGGCGTATGTGTGGAGTATGCGCCTGCGCATGGGGTGTGTTCTTGTTTTATCACGCGTTTTGCCACTCGTTTTGCCACTCGTTTGACCATTCATTTTCCCACTCGTTTTTCCCCCCGTTTGAGCATTTCTTTCCCCCCCCGTGTGGACAGACGCCCAATTTCGCTTCCCTCCCCCCCGCAGCGGTGACAAGGACATCTTCGAGGACGGCGTATTCGTGGACCTGGTTTCCTTCGAGAGCTTCGGCCTGAAGTGCCTTCAGCACAACTACAACCGAGCGCAGCAGGGGAGCGGCCAAAGTAGCGATCAGAGCCCAGGGGTCCCCGCAGGAAGGTTCTACCTGAATATCAAGAAAAAAAAAAAACTGCTCGACAAGATAGAAAAAAGCGAAATAAAAAATCTGACCCTGAACGTGGAAGGAGGATTCAAAGAGAGTAGAGTGTACGAGTACCAGTGCGAGTATGCCCTGTACGATTTGGAGGAAAACCTCTACATCCTTTTAGATCAAGTGGAAGACGAGCGTGTAAAAAATATATGTAAAAGCATAATCAGTCACAAAAACGAGATAAAGAAGGAGAGCCCAAACAAGTGGGTGAACGAAATAAAGGAGAGCAAATACGCAAAGGATCTTATACAACTACCAAACATTACAATAAAGAATGAAAATCTCGAATGTGCGGTTTGCAAAGCTAAGAAAAACATATGGCTGAACTTATCCGATGGGTACATTGGGTGTGGAAGGAAAATATTCAATTATGGAGGGGGGTGTCTGAACAATGAAGAAGGTGCAGCGTTGAAGCATTATTACGAAAGTGGAAAGAAGTACCCCCTAGTAGTGAAACTAGGAACCATCACCAAGGAGGGAGAAGCAGATGTATTCTCCTACGCAGATGACGAAAATGACAGCGTAATAGATCCCTATATAAATGTGCATCTGAAAAACCTCGGAATTAATATAACGAATTTGAACAAAACAGAAGTTACCACTTTGGAGAAAGAAATAAAAGAAAATCAAAACATAAATTTTACCTCCATACTTGATAAGGATACACAGCTTGTATGTAAAGAGGGAAAGGTTGGATTCCTTAACTTAGGAAATACGTGCTACATGAATTGCGCCTTGCAAGTCTTACTCTCCATAAAAGAGGTTAGTTACAGATATATAGACAATCAGGTCGACTTCCTACTAACCCTGGAGAGGGAAAAGAAGACACACCTCGATATGTTCATTCAGTATGCAAAATTATGCTGCATGATTTTTAAAGAAGACTATATTAAGAAGAAAAAGAAATATATAAAAAAGTTTAAAGAAGAATGTGTGAATAGAAATGTGGAGGTAAACTACGACAGCGATGTGGATGAAGAAAATTGTGTTAGTATCAATCCCTCCATGTTTCGAAGATGCCTAAATCAGAAGGGGAACTCCTTCTGCAATAACAGTCAGCAGGACATCTTCGAGTTTTTAACCTACTTCCTAAACGAGCTCATCGAAAATGAAAATGTCATTTTTCAAAGACTCCTAAACGGGGGAAATTCCGATAAGAGGAAAATGAGCCAGATGGAGAAGAGCCAACAGGGGGGGAAAACTCAACAGGGGGGGGAAACTCAAAAGGGGGACAAATTTAACAAGAGCAACAATAACATGTCCGCAGCGGAGGGGGAGAACAGAGAAGGGGATAATCAACAAAAAAGTGAAAAGTCCCTCTTCAACCTCTTCACCTTCGAAATGGAACAAACCATTGTCAGTGATGAGAATAACATAAGTAAGAGCTCCTTCCATAATAACATCCTCTCATTGGACATCCCACTCGATAATGCTGTGTTGAAAAAATTGGAAGGACAGGACACTTCCCTTACTTCTCCCTCTCATGTAACGCTACTAGACTGCCTGAATAATTTTATAAAAAAGGACCACATTGATGAGTACTACAGTGAGGAGAAAAAAATGAAAATCTTCGCTCAGAAGGATATCAAATTTAAGACCTTTCCTCCGTATCTTTTTATTCACATTAAGAGATTTTATGCCGATGAGAACTGGAGCGCAAAGAAGATAAATATTCCCATTCAGACCGATGAGTACATTAACTTAGAGTTTATGCGATCGGAGAAGACCCCTACTGCCGCTATCACCGCTACGAGCAGCGGCAGTGGGTATGGGGAAGGACAAGGGAAGAACTCCGCGGATGCTTCCCATGCACGGAAAAGCAACGAGGAGTACATCATGCAACAGCATAAGGATCTTTTCAACTCCCTTCTAGATCTCGGATTTGAAAAGGAAAAAATTCTGGAGGCCATCAGAAAAGTCAAAGTCAAAAATGTGAACAATTGCATCTCATACATTTATGGAGAAGACTCCGTCGAATTGGAGCTCCAAGAAATCAGCCAAGGGACGGACGTCAACTCAGAGAATTTAAATGCTATCGTCAGCATGGGCGTGAACAGGGACGTGGCTATGGCTTCCCTCCTCATAAACAAAAACGACTTGCAGAAATCCATCGATTATATTTTTTCCAATCTGGACGTCCTCACGGAGATGAAGTGCGCTGCTATTGTCAACAGGAACAAGTGCGAAGACGGCTTGGGTAAGGGTGCTCCGCGGGAAGAGAGGTCCACATCTGTTAGACGCGGCATAGACTTATGAGCATGCAACACTTGTGAGAAAAGCGAATCAATTTCTCTTCTTCTTTCACCATTTATACCCCCCCTCGCAGCCAACTACGAACTAGTCGCTTCCATCGTGCACATGGGAAGCAACGCCAACTCGGGCCACTACATCTGCTACATAAAGGACGATGCTCAGTAGGGATTTGCGCCCCCAATGGGGAGATACTCCTCGCGCGGAAAAAAATAAATGCAAGTTGGAGCGGGCGCTAATTTGTCTTTTTTATTTTATTTGATTATTTTTTATTTATTTTATTTTTTTTTTTCATTTTTTTGTTTTTTTTCCCCCCCAAGGTGGTACGTCTACAACGACAACAAGATTGGCCTGTGCGACACGAACAAGGGCAGGGACACGGCATACATCCATTTGTACAAGAGGATCTGAGAGAATTTTTCCTTTTTCTTTTTGGCGGAATTTCCCTCGCACAGAGCGTTCAAGATAGCAATATGGGTATCCATGCCTATCCGTCCATCTCCGTCCCCCAGCTTCCACCCTATGAACACTTCATGTCCGCACTGTATACGTAGAAAGGCAACAAGTCATCCAAGCTGTGGACACTCCCTTGATTGTGTTCCACTGGAGAAGTTGTACTCTGTGAAGGTCTTCCAAAGTGTATGTGCAAGGGCACCCAAGGGGTGAACGTGAACGCGGTGCGAAAAAAGGTAACGCAGGGTGAATGCGCAGCTTGGTATGGCGGCTTTGTATATCGGCTTCGCGTGGAAACTTCACAGGGCAACCCCCCAATGTTTTCACCGTTCCTACCCCTCTGGCGCGCCCCTCTGCGTGTGCAAATAAATACCGCGCGCTATGGAGGCGGGGACTTGCATAATGGAGCGAGGGATGTCCCCAATCAATCGGACAAGCTTGTTCACCACCTGCCCAAAATAAAAACTGTGTGTTTTTATATTTATTAAATTCTCCGTCTCAGCTTTGCTCAAAATTGTATTCTCATAAACAGACAATTTTATAAAATTATTCATTTTGTATTCCTTGTACATCGAACTGAACGATTTATTTGCATACAGAGTAAAGGCTATGTAATTTTCATCCATAATGAACATATAGGTGTTGCTTTCCTTGAGGTGAGGTACGATGGCTTCAAATGGAGTGTTCTCTACAGCTAGCTTCATTAAGGTGTTCTTAACCATATGAACACGTACATGTGGTCTGGGAAGATTTATTAACAAATCCATCCTCATATTTGGAGTTAACTTGAAACTGTTTATCTGTATTAACAGCTTTGTTACTTTTAAAATTCTTTTTATTTTTCTTATCATTTCGTCTTTCCCTTCTCTGGTGTTTCGATACCCACTACATTTTCTGCTATTTATCGAAATACATTTTTCTCTTTTTCTCCGGCCTATATTTGTATTGCTTAGAAAATGGGGATACTCCACATGGCTTCCTTTTCTGCTTCTTCTTCCTCTTCCTTCTTCTCCCGCTTCTTCGTTCTTTCTCCACTTTGTTATTATTCCTGTGGAAGGAGAGAACAACTCAAGTGGCGCCTTCACTGCACCGGATTTGTAGACCCCCCAGGAGTTTTTCCCTGCACAGATGCTATGCAGACATATCGTGTGAATCAAACACAACAGCAGTGCGAGGGGAAAGCGTCTTCCGCCCGCCCGTTTCAAGAACATTATCCTGGGTGAGTGTAAATGTGTACCTGCGGGGGAGTGCCACAGGGGTACGTTTTCCCCTGCAAATAGTACCCCCCCCTATATGTTTACACACGCGTAGGCCTCCTTTTATCCGCTTAATGAATAGTGCCTTTAACGTCTCTCACGCAGACATTCATATTTTGCATTGCCCCCGTGGGGGACGTGGCCCACGAGTCAACTACTCAGGGGCGGTTTATTTGGGGGGAAAAAAAAAAAAAAACTGAAAAAAATTAATCAGGAGAGTTTGTTAGCTCGCTCGCTACACAAATAAACCACCCATGAACCACCTGTGCTGTTATCCCCCCCCTCTGTCTGCTCTTTTGGCAAATGATGCGCTTCAATTTACTTGCCCCTTTGTAGCGTCGTCGGATTGTGCACCTACCCCCAGACCATAGCACATTAAAAGATATGATATTAAGCTGTTCCTTCTATCTGGCACAACGTATTCAGCAACGACGGGGAACACATTCCATCGCTATCCCACAGTGGGTGAGTTTTCTCCGCTCTACGACGGATTCTGTTCCTATAAAGGGGAGCATACTCCTGCGCATGGAGAAGCTTTAGAAGCTAACTTTCGCGATTTGCTTTGTTTTCCCTTTTTTCAGACATTACTACGCCTAGTGAGGTGTTCCACCACGGGGGAAGCTTCACCAATAAGGAGTGACATGTAAATGTGCCGGTGTACTCATTGTGAGCGAGTGTGTCGCTGTGGATGGGTGTGCGGATGGGTATGTACATTTGAGGAATGCCAAAGGGTAGCAAAAAAAAAAGAAAATAAATAAAAAATAAAAAGTATAAAATAAAAAATACAACGCTTTGCAGAGTGCCGCAAAAGCGGAAAAACAACAACAACAACAAAAAAAGGACTGACTAGGCAGTTCTGGAAGCCCTTGGGGTAACCAGTTGACGCGCCATTTGGCCAACCGGTTAACCATAAAGCAAACTAGCTAGCCAATCTGCACATTTGTTAAAGCAAAAAGGTGGCAGCCATTGCCCAATTCGTTTCATTCCCCTTAAATGTGTATTCTCTCAATCCGTGTGCAGAAAAACGGAAAAAGAAACTCACAAAAAAATGCCCATAAAAATGGCCTTTACACGAACAGAGGAGAAACTGCAAAATGAACGTAAATTCTCCGCGGCGAAGAAAAGAAAACAGCCAAAATGAACAACCATTTGGTAAATTCATTTTAAAGGTAACATATTTGCCTGAACAAGTCATACATTTTATGCGCATTTATGCGTACTCCTTCAGCACTTTCGCGCACTTGTCAGCACTTTTGCCTGCTTTTTCGTACCCGTATTTTTTTTTTTTTTTTTTTTCGCAAAACAGGAACATTCAGGTGAGAGGGTGCGTATTTTTACGCGACAACACACAGGTACATATGACATTACGTATACTATTTTTTTTAGAAGGAAAATTTGTTAGGTAAAAAAGTTGGAAAAAGGAAAAAAAAAAAAAATACCACTACAGAGTTGTCACATTGACTGTATTCTATTTTTTTTAAAATTGTGCCACGTTGTTGGGTGCATTTACAATTGAACTGAACAAATTAACATTTTCACCTCAAAATTATTGAGAATCTGATCATTTTACATTGCGTTCGTACGTTTGTGCGCATGCGTGAATGAGTTTAATGTTACCCAAGCGATATTCCCCTTCAACCAGCATTTTTGTTTTTTTGTTTTCCCCCCGAATGAGTAGTAGTTTACACGAGAAAGGGGTTAAAATTTGGAACAAAGAAGGAAAAAAAAAAACACACAAGTGTAGCAAACATACTGCGTCTACACGCTGCGTACGCGTAGCACACGTCGAGCACCTCGCGCCTCGAACACCGTCGTCGCCCACAATTTTTTCGCCACGCCTGGGGGGAGCGTTTCCAACGCGGCAGTTCAATTTTGAGTGAAAAAATCATCGAAAAGATGCAAAAGAGGGAAAAAAAAATAAAGTAGCAGAGCAAAATAGGTGGCAAAATAGGTGGCACAATAGCAGGCGCAATAGCAGAAGCTGTAGCAGGCGAAGCTGGGGGGCAAAATGCAAACGATTGACTCGATGGGCGCAATGGGGGGAATACACATCCTGGGGGAAGCGGGGCCCGTGGGGACGGCAGAGACACTGCAGGAGGAGAAAAAAAAAGAGGGGCAGAATTTAAAAAGCGACACAGAAGAAGAACAACAAAGTGACGACGGCCAAGTGGAAGTAAAAGAGATTTACAATAAAAGCAATTTTATTAATGGGAAGGGTGCCAGGCTGGTTCGAATAGTATCCGAATTTGTGGGAGTCCAAGATGCATTACGAGATGAAGGAATATTTTTCACAGTCGTAGTTTTCGGCTCTTCCAGATCGTTAAGTAATGAAAAATATCAATCGAGAAAAAGAAAATTGGAAAAAAAACTCACCAAATTTAATGACCAAATAGCGAGCAGGACACCATTAACAGTCACGGAGGTAGCAGAATATGAAAGGGTAAAAAAAGACTTAGAAAAATTACATAAATTAAAATGGACCACAGAATATTATGCAAAAATATATGAGCTTTCAAAACGGCTGACTTTATTTTTTGGGACAGAAGAAGGGCAGAAGGCAGTGAATAATATTTCGACCCATTTGCCAAAGGTACATAGCTTTCTGCCAAATAAAAAAGGGGAAAAGAATCCAAACAATTTTACTGTTGCGATCTGTACAGGGGGAGGTCCTGGTTTTATGGAGGCAGCGAACAAGGGGAGCAGAGAAGCCAATGGCAGATCCTTAGGCTTTATGATTTCTCTTCCATTTGAAAAAGGAGCCAACCAATATGTAGATCGAAACTTATCTTTCAAATTTCATTATTTTTTTACCAGAAAATTTTGGCTAGTCTATTTATCCCTAGCTTTTATCGTCCTCCCAGGGGGGTTCGGAACTTTGGATGAACTGATGGAGATTCTCACCCTAAAGCAGTGTAAGAAGTTTAAGAGAAATGTGCCTATTATTCTTTTTGGAAAAGACTTTTGGTCTAGTATTCTCAATTTTAAGAAGCTAGCTGATTATGGGCTTATTTCTGAAGAGGATCTAGATTCCATTTTCCTTACGGACTGCATTGAGGAGGCATACAACTACGTCATCAACCATTTGAAGAGTGGCTCTTGTTTGTCCGACATGGCGTGATGATAAGAAGGGGTTGCCCCCTCTTTGGACGAGGATCTATATTCACCCTCTGCGTATTGTGTGGAAGCAGCACACTGGGTTGCTTTCTCCCACAGGGTGGGTGGCTCAGCTTAACAAACCCGTTAGGAAATCCCGCGGTTCGGATAACCACCCGTTCGGATAAGAACCGTTCCGTTTGCTGTGTCTGTTGGGATATATTGAGTTGGCCTCCCTCGTAGGTGCCCCTTCCCCGTGTGTAAGTGGGTCCTCAGAGGAGGCTACATATGGTCGCATGGGTAAATATTATACATTTGTATGGGGAGGAGGTGGGACCATTCGGGTATTTAATTTGTGGGGCCACATCAAAAAAGAAAAAAAAAAAAATTAAAATAATGTATCTGTGTATTAATGTAGTAATATATTGATTGAGTTTTCTTAATATGCATTTTATGATACATTCCCCATTTTGTAGAAAGAAAAAAAAAAAAAAACTTCACAATATGTTCCCTCCTCGTCCTTTTCACGTTTCCCTAAAAACTTTTTTTTAAATTCGTTAATTAGATTTGCTCAGAAAAGGTGAGTTATATCGCCAGTGGCGTGGATCCAATTCTGCGTTGCCGCGTAGGTGTTTGTCCAAATGGGAGAAATGCGTGTGTGGGTGAGAAGCACTGCTTCGGGCAGAGTTCCGTCTGTCCTTCCGCGTGTGCTACGCTGAAAGTTGCAGGCTCGCGAATGCATCACATGGATATATTATATATAATGTATATATGCGCCCGTTCCTGTAGCATCCGGGTAACTCACTGCGAGGTAACATCAGGCAACTGCCTGCGTACACTCCGTGTGCAGATGTGCCGTCGGTCGGTTGAAGGAGGAAAAGGCAGAGTCAAAACGGTTGCAAGTTGGTCACAGCGAAAATGGAGAAGTTTAAACAGAAAGGTGTCGTCCTCTTTCTCCTTCATTTTTCCCTCTTGTTGGTGAAAATGAGCGCGGCCGAGAACGGTTGGCCCCTGGAACGTTTGTATGCACAGAGTGGTACATGAGATGAGCGAGTACGGCCGGTGCGCGGGGATTTGTTTCGCCCTTGGTACTTTTCACTTTGCCGCTTCGCACTTGGCCCCTTCTCGCTAGGCCCCTTCCTTCTTTTTTTCCCGCCAGTGAAACGGAACGCGCCGCGAACGGTGGGCCATTCCAAAGGGGCACACTCTGCGATACAATGCCTTTGCTTAATTTTTAACTTACGTTTAATTCTCCTTTAATGCTATTTTTTTTTTTTTTTTTTGCCATTTCGTTTTGACGCCCTTCTGGGGAACTCTTCAGAAGGACTGCCACAGAAGGAGAATAAAAAGAAAGAAGCAGACTTTGGCGAAGCAGACTTTAACGAAGCAGACCTTAACGAAGCAGCCGTTGACGAAGCAGCATTTTCTTGAATCTCCCCTCCCGGAAAGGATGTCCTGAAAGAAGCGTTTGACCAAGTAGCCAAGAGAAAAAACAAAAGGTTTTAAAAAAAAAGAAAAACGAAAAAAATGGATAGCATTGGCAAGTACCTGAAGGAGGAGGACTACTACATTAAGCTGAAAATTTTGAAGAAGCAGATTGACATGCTGAATATACAGGTGGGTGCTCGCGTGAGGATCGGCGGCACGCGTGTGTGTGGGCAGACCCGGCTCGTAGTGGTATCTCCCTTGTAGTGGCACATCCCTCGAAGGAGTGTTCGCCTAGCTGGGCGGTTGTACACGTGGGGGATGCGCGTGAAAATCCCACGTAAGATGCGCAGCTTTTATAATTGCGGCGCCGCTTCACCACTACCTCGCCGCTTCACCACTACCTCGCCGCTTCACCACTGCCTCGCCGCTTCACCATTGTCGCGCCCCTTTACCATTCCCCCCTCAGGAGGAGTACATCAAAGAGGAGCACAAAAATCTGAAGAGAGAGCTGATCAGGTCGAAGAACGAAATCAAGCGCATACAAAGTGTCCCTCTCATCATAGGGCAATTTCTAGACATAATCGATAACAACTATGGGATTGTGAGCAGCACGGCCGGGTCGAATTATTACGTTCGAATTTTGTCTACCTTGAATAAAGAAGATTTGAAGCCATCAGTTAGCGTGGCGTTACACCGACACAGCCATTCCATCGTGAATATACTTCCATCCGAATCGGACAGCAGCATACAGTTACTACAAGTCAGTGAGAGACCAAATGTGAAGTACACAGACCTGGGAGGACTGGACACACAGAAGCAGGAAATGAGAGAAGCCGTAGAATTGCCTCTAAAAAGCCCAGAACTGTATGAAAAAATCGGAATAGAACCCCCCATGGGGATCTTAATATATGGACCCCCAGGTACAGGCAAGACAATGCTTGTTAAGGCAGTAGCGAATGAGACACAAGTTACCTTTATCGGGGTAGTCGGTTCTGAATTTGTCCAAAAATACCTAGGAGAAGGTCCAAGAATGGTTCGAGATGTTTTCAGACTAGCCCGTGAGAACTCTCCTTCCATCATCTTTATCGATGAGGTAGATGCAATAGCAACAAAAAGGTTTGATGCGCAGACAGGGGCAGACAGAGAAGTGCAGAGGATTCTTCTAGAATTGCTGAATCAGATGGATGGGTTCGACAAATCCACCAATGTGAAAGTCATCATGGCGACGAACAGGGCGGATACATTAGATCCTGCATTGTTGAGACCGGGAAGACTTGACCGAAAAATTGAGTTCCCTCTCCCGGACAGGAAACAGAAAAGACTTATTTTTCAGACCATTATTAGCAAGATGAACGTCAGCAGCGATGTTAATATAGAGAATTTTGTCGTGAGGACTGATAAGATAAGTGCCGCCGACATTGCTGCCATTGCACAGGAGGCCGGCATGCAAGCCATACGCAAGAACCGCTATATCATCACGGCTAACGATTTCGAGCAGGGATACCGCACGCACGTCCGCAAGCAGATGCGCGATTATGACTTTTATAACATATAGGTAGAGGGGCGGGCGCCTTTTCGGGTCGTTTCGACGTCCATTTGGACCACCTATTCAAGCCGTTTTTTTTTTTTTTTTTTTTGCACCTTTTCCCGTTACGGAGGTATTGCCACCTCCCTCCAAACTAACTGCCATTATGAATCGTTTTCATTCTCATGAAGAAGTCTCCGTGTGGATGGGGCGTGTACACATGGACACGTCCGTGTAGCGCTGCTTCCTTCTTCGATCGGTTCCACCCGATATGTGGTGGGAAAAAAGAAGGGGCACAAAAAAAAGGGAGTCTCTTCCGTTAGGTGTGAAAATGGGAAGCTGTACACAGAGGCGGAGAGGCTTTTCCCGCATGGCGTGTAGCCAGGCTAGCGCGGCGATGGTGGTGCGGCTAAGAGGCGGTGGTCGCTCGGTTTAGATGCCGATGCTGGCTCGGTTTACACGCTGCTCACATGCCGCCCACCCCCTCAGAAGTAAGTGACGCTGTCGAAGGGGAGGTGCGAGACGGAGCCGAACTCGCGTAGGGAGACGGAGCCCTCGTCGTCCAAAACGAGCCACGTAATTCCGCAGTTGTAGCTGGAGAAACGAAGCCAAGCAAACAGAGGAAGTTGTAGAGCCCTGCACAGAAAGTAGCGAATCACATTACCATGACATATTACCAACTGGTACTCATCTTCGTCTCCAGGTGGCTGATAAAAATAAGTCTCATATGCTTTATTGATTCTTTTATTGTCGACACGGATTCTATTGCTATCAAATTTGGAGCTTCTAGGAATAGGATCAGGTAAATACGGAGTGCCTTCATTTAAGTTCGGATCATTTATCAGCTGAGCCTTTGGAAAATACTTACTAATAATCTCTGCAGTTTCTTTTGCGCGAATTAAATCTGAGTGATATATCACACTGATTTTCTTGTCATTCAGAATATCCTTCAGCTTCTTTCCAGTCATCTCAGCTTGTTTGCATCCTTCCTTTGTTAGCTTTTTTGAACTCTCATCATTTTTATTCTTCCGTACGTATTGTCCATGTCGGACAAGTATTATATTTTTGGACACATGTTTTTTTTCTCTCTTTCCTTCCTTTTTCTCTTTTAACTTATTTTCGATATCCTTCATATACGGATTGTATGCATAGTCATACTTATGGTTCCATCTGTAAAGAACATAGTTCTCATATGCGTAGGTCAGCCCGATTGAGAGTGCCACTGATGTGACTGCTGTACAGAGGATGTACTTGCCCTTTCCCTCCTTCACGTATTTCACCTTTTCTCCGTTCACCCCTCCGCTAAAGGTTCGCTTCGCCTGCAGGTTCGCCTGAAGGTTCGTCTGCGAGTTCCCTCTCAGGTTTTTCCTGAGACCGATTTTGCTCACTAAGTTGTAATGTCGCATCTTCGCTCCGAGGGAGAAGCTACCCGTGAAGGAGAAGTCACCGGTAAAGGGGAAGCTACACGTGAAGAAGCCACCGGTAAAGGGGAAGCTACACGTGAAGAAGCCACCGGTAAAGGGGAAGCTACCCGTGAAGAAGCCACCGGTAAAGGAGAAACTACCAATGTGTGTGTTTTTGTGATGGGGGCTTACTCCTGTGCGCTTATTGACAGTGCCGCTTCTTACTGGCAGTGCTTTCTGTTAGTTGTGGGGGGTGCTCATCAGAAGATGGTTAGTGTGCTCTTCTTCGCTCGTTCGTTCGTTTGCTCCTTCGTTGGCCGCTTCCTTTTTTTGCTCCTTCCCGAGCCGCTCATTTTTTAGCGCTCGTATTTCCTTGCCCAATTGCAATGCCGTACCGAGCGGGGCGCTTAAAAAAATTCCTCCTTCAAATGGAGATGGCAACACCTCCGCTAGGGCACCTCGCTTGGGCGAAAAGTAAGAAGCGGGGCAAACGCGCAGCAAAGCAGGAGAAGCGGGAACAGCAGGGAAAGGAGGAAAAGCGGGAAAAGAAGGAAAATCCAAGAAATGCAGAGAAATGCACCGAAAAACACAGCAACGCGAAGCAGAGTTCACCAATGCTTTAGTCGCAATCTGTTGGGTCGTCCCCTCAAGCGGCGCACACCAGTGGCAGAGGGGTGGCGGCACTCTTAGAGGTCACCCTACTCGGCCGAGCGACCACCCCGCTTATCTGTAACGGTTACCTGTAACGGCTGCTGTGACGTCTGCTATATCGAATGGCCCACAAATTCACAAAGACGCCCGGCCGAGAAGCAGCCAGTGTGCCCCGCTCCCCAAACTGCGGAGCTCCCTTTACGCAAAAATAGCAGTTATGGGTACCATGCCCATAAGAAGTACACGCAATTCAGTGAGAACCGGTCAGTCGGTTGTTAACGCAACGGAGCGAACGAGAAAAACTAAGAAAAAAAAAAAAACTCTCCTACTGTGACACCCATACAGAGTAGGATGCGCTATGCGACCTTTGGGTGTGTAGGGACAGGAAAAGGAAAGAAGCACCGTCCGTTTCTAAATGGAGCAAATTGAATTCATATTCGAAAAAGAAGTCACGTTCGAAAAAGAAGTCACGTTCGAAAAAGAAGTCACGTTCGAAAAAGAAGTCATGTTCGAACAAGAGGTCATATTCGCAGAAGGGGAGGGAAGAGCTCCCCCCCGTATGACGCTTCTCTGCCTTCACTGCACAGCGCCCTCCAGGACGTTCTTCAAATCCATTTTAAAGGCACTCATAACGACTTGGTTGAAGATGCACGTGGGCTTGTCGTAGGAGCAGTTGCTCTCTAGGAGGTTGTACGAATTCAAGGTGCCCGTGGAGTTAAAGACAAAGTTGGGTCTCTTCTTTAGGTGGAAAACCATGTTGACGTCAGGATCGGCGTAGTAATTTCTAAAATAGCCTTCCTTGTGAAATACGAAGGGAGTGTGGTGCACGCTCTGCATGCTCTTGGTGAACTTCCGGATCTGAGGAAGGGGGGGGGTAGCGGCGGTGTAGCGTGTGTGGCAACGATGTAGTCTGTGCAGCGTTCACGTGGTGACGCCCTCGCGGTGGGATGCCAAACCATCCGAGGTGCGGCTGCGCAGGGGACCCACCTGGTCGTCTACTATCTTGTTGGTGTACTTATGAATCAGGAAATGAAAAAAAGGAATGTACGTTCGGTGGCCCGTTTCCCAGTATATATTATTCTGTTGCAAAAAATAGGGGTGCTCTTCTGTGTCTCCTGACTTGAGTGAGTTGCCAATCAGGTCATCGATTTCTGCCTTTCCCAGGGCCACCTGCACCTGTCCGTCGCTCCCAGCCATTGTTGGTTTGAGGCGAGGTGAAGAGGCTATTCGTCCTTCTGGGGCCAACGTTACCGCTAAGCTGCGCTACACAACGGAACGGAACACGGCCAAATGGCGCACTCGTGAAATGGCCCAATCGCGTCAAGCTGGGAACCCCCTCTTGTAGAGATGCCGACAGAGCGGGAAAGAGGAGCTCGCAAAAGAGGAGCTCGCAAAAGAGAAGCTCGCAAAAGAGAAGCGCGCAAAAGGGTACTCTATAACTCTATCAAGTGGGAACCTCCCAAATGGGAAAACAAAAAAAGGAAAAAATAAAATAGGGGCTCACTTAAACTTTTTCTTTTTTTTTTTCTTTTTTTTTTTTCTTTTTTTCAAATTGTGTCAATAAAGCCTGACCATTTTTGCGAGCTCAGGGGAATACACAATGTGCCGCCCTTCCGAATTGACTGCATTTATTGCGTTATACAACATATTGCCCATTCTCCTAGGCATTACAAAAAAGAGCTTCACACTTGGGTCTTCCTATTCCGACCAGCATAGAGCACCCATGGCAGTACCACGTACACAGGGGTATGTACATTACACCTCAGAGTTGTGCTTTTTTTTTTTTTTTCTTTTCTTGTTTTCCCACGAGGGAGTATTTTTCCATCTGCTAAAAAAAGGCAAAGTGTTTTGTTTTTCTTTTTTGAAGACAATCCAAGTTGATTAAGGAAGGCTTTTTTCTCCTCCCCCGATGCGATGAACTCATTTTGTGCCACACCCTGGGGGATGGGGGCGAAAGTCCCTTTTAACGCCCTCCCCTCATTGTCTTGCCCCTCCGTTCAGATGCACCACTCGGGGCGTCACCAGGCGAGTGGGCAATGCGGAGAAGCGCCAAAGTGGGAGGGCGGCCATGGAGAGACCCAGCGGAACCGAGCGGAACGAAGAGGAACCGCGCAGAACCAATCACGAAACATGGACCGAAGGAGCACATCCTGAAGAGAAGCCCTCGTGAAATGAGCACATCCAGATGAGAAGCAAAACAGATTGGCAACTCCAACCGCTTGACCTGCACACACTTGTGAACAGATTGCAAGGGAAAAACCCTTTTAACGATTTTTTTTTTATTTTTTTTATTTTTTTTATTTTTTTTATTTTTTTTTATTTTTTTATTTTTTTATTTTTTTCCTAAAAGGGGTTTCCCCAGAGGGTCCCCAAAACAGCCCTTAAGTTACACCTCCCGGGAGGACGCCTTCCTCTTGACCCATGTTGGCAAAATTTATTGCCCCCGTTTGACGTGGCTAATTGCTTCCCCTACCACAGTGGGAATATCCCCCTCCCGTTAAGCACCCCATGGCAGAGAAAAAAATAGACGACTCTCCATTTCTGCAAAAGATGGAGAACTTCGAAATCGCAGATGGGAAGAATAAGAAGGCCTCCAGGGGGGAAGTGAAAAATGTGTATCGGAGCCTGGACAACGAATTCAACTTTGACAATGAGGAGGTGGCCCCGGAGGGGGAGAAGTCTCCTCAGTTCAACCAAGGTGATGGGAACCAGCCTGATGAGAACCAACCTAGTTTGAACCAACCTGGTGTGAGGCAGACGGGCAAGAGTGACGAAAACATAAGGACGATAAAAATTGACCGGAAAAATCTCAGAAAAATGTTTAGCAGCCAGTTCTTCACGCAGACACTGACAGATGACTCAAGTACCAATTCGATCAGCGAGTTAAAAATGAATAAGCGATATGCCACAGGGGAGTTTTTTAAGGCTCTCTTTCTCTTCATTTTGTTTTTCACCACCTCCTACTTTGCCTTCTTTTACATTTATAAGAGCTATTTTGGGAACAGCCATCTGTGTGGCTACCTCGATTTGTACAATTACAAATACGAGAGTCAGGTTCGCTTCATCCCCAGTGTTAGCGGCGCTAGGTATTACGTCTTCACGGGTAGGTTGAGAGGTGTAGCGGGGAAGCGGCAAGGGGAAGTGTAGGGACACTTAGCATGGTGTTCCCGCCAGCGCGTCTCGCCACACTGCTTTGCTTCTCTTCTTCTTCTGCTTCCCACCGTCTCGCCACACTGCTTTGATTCACTTCCCCCCCCTTGCAGGAAAATTCCCCTTCGACGTCATAACCCACAAGATGCGAAAGGAGGCCCTAAAAGACAGCATGAACGAGGAGCTGGAGAAGCACAACAAAGAAAACGCAGACAAGGAACCTCTGGAGAAAATCATAGACCTAAATGATCATCCCATACAGATCCTCTCCTTCATGAAACACAACAACAAGATGAAATGCGAAAGGAATATATTTGAGTTGTACAGACCATTTTACTTAAAGTCGACAGACGTGGATATCAGCCAGCATAACTTTATCCTGAGTGAAGTGAATTACAGCTTCGTCACCAATCCGTACAGCGTCCCCGAGGCCCGGGTGAGCACCAGAGAGGAGGGGCACAACGCATCCAGGGCAGAGCTTATACCTCTCCATTTGCGTGGCCCCTCTTTGCCGCGTAGTTGTTTCTACGTCTCATCCCCCTTCGCTCCCCCACGCAGCTCTACGCCGAAGTGGCCAATGTCATGAAGAAGAGCGAAGGGAAGAACAAAATTTGTTACATGACTTCATATTTGAATTCGCTGAGGGAAGACAAAGGGGGGAATGCAGGAAGAGAAGCGGTGGATGTAGGAAAACAAGGAGCGGACGCGGGAAGGATCCTCAGCGAGGGAAGTGCCACCATTTCAAACTCAGAGCAGACGAAACAGGAAGCTCCATCCAGTGAAGTTACCAACAAAGCAACGGAAGTCATCACGGCAGCGTTCGAAGGTGCAAAAAGATACTTTAAGGGGACACCAACTGGAGAAGGACAAGCACAGCAGAGGAAGGCCAACGACGGGGTAGGCTACTTCAGCGGCATGTTGCAAACCCCCAAGAGGAAGATCGTATACCTCTACGATTATTACGGTAGGATCGGTGTGATGGGCAAACTAAACGGGATAACCCGTTCTAACAAAAGGGTTGTGTGCCTCCCTGTTGTGTGGCCAGTTTCTTTTTTTTTTTTCTTTTTCCATCTCATCGACCTCTCCCCATGCGCACACACCATCGTCCCTATTCCCCATCTACGCAGACAACAACTTCGTCGACCTGCTCGTCGCCATCCACAACATGCAGTATGGAAATACATTCAGCGATTTGAGGGCATACTGGGAAGAGTTAAAGCGGAGGTTCAAGGTGATCAGCCCGGAGGAGATATACCTGCTCGAGTGGTTAGCTAGCCAAAAAAAAAAAAAAAAAAAAAAAAAAAAAAAAAAAAAAAAAAAAAAAAAAGAAAAAAAGAAGAAAAAAAAAGAAAAAGGTCTACATCACCCATTCGCTAGCTGCTGACCCGTCCGCCGTTATAACCGCGTTTCGCCCGCCCCTCCACAGGTACTGCCTTGGCGTGAACTACAACTTAATTGAAAATAACAATCATTTCAAGTTAAACTGCGTTGATCTTTTAAAGTAGGGGCAGAAAAAAAGAAGGAAAAAAAAAGGAAAAAAAAACAAAGCACAGCAAGACAAAGCTGAGCAAAACGAAGCAAAGCAAAACGAAGCAAAGCAAACCGTAGCAGAACAAAACGTTGCAGCGTAATATACTGCTCGATAAAACTTCTAGACAAAACTGCTAGACAAAACTGCGCGACCAAGCTACCACGCGAGAAGTCGTCTCCTCATCGGTTGGACGGCTTGGCCCATTCCACCTGCGCCAAAAAGAAAAAGAAAAAAAACAATGATCAGCGAGCATCCGATTGGAACTGCCCAAATGCTGGTAAAAAAGCACACTGATTGCGCTCTCCGCGACAGGTGTGCGGACTGCACTCGCTCCATTCCTTGTACTGACGGAATCGAAGCCACCCCACGGAGCCCATTTCCACTTACGCTTAGCAACAGGTTTTCAAATCCGTGTCTATTCAACTTCTCGATGGCCCTCTTTGCTTCTTCCCTATTGGAATAAGTGATGAAGGCGAATCCCTTCGAATTTTGCGTTTCCCTGGAAAGGAGAAAAAAAAAGAAAAAAAAAAAAAAAAAAGGCGAAATTGGTCATGTTCCTCTGTGTAGTAAACGGAAGCGCATTTCGATGTACATATGCACACCCGCTTCCCCGTCCGCTTCTTACTTGTGCTTGGCCAGGAACATCCTCGATATTTGCCCAACTCTTCCAAAGAGGTTGGACAATTCGCTTTCGTTGACTTCCTCGCTTAAGTTCGTCACACGAACGGTGCACTCCTTGTTTTGGGTGTCCTTCGAGGGGGGGGAAGAAAAAAAAAAAAAAAAAAAAAAAAAGAAAAAAAAAAAAAAAAAAAAAAAAAAAAAACGTGCTGATGGGTTCATCAAAGGGGACACAAGAAAGAACTGTACATGTGTCTTCCCTTTCGTAACACAGATGAGTCGGACGCTGGAGGAGCCTCTCCCTCGACGTGCACAGAAATGGGACGAGGAAACCTACGTGTGATCGATAGAACAGCATGTCTCTCTTAACGCCCAATTTGTTGGGATCATCCAGTTTAGGTTCCTGCATGGGGGGAGCAGATGTGGAAGGGAAGCCAATCAAGGAGGTTCCCAAAAAGGTAGCAACCAAGCAGTGCATCGAAACAGCCCAACCGAAGTGGGCACTCCTTGCGCCACCTCTTCCGCGGAAGCGCCATGACGTACCTCCACATCTTCATCTTTAAATATTTTAAATCTATTCTTCAAATCCTTGGCAGTCTTGTCGGCCTGCTCCGTGAAGAGGTAGTCATACTCTGTTCCCTTGAGGAAGTCGAAGAGGTTGTTCTTGGGTACTTCAATGTTGACGACGTCGGTGGGTTCGACTATGACGGAGCTGCACTGCGATGTGGGGCAGGAAGGCGGTGTATATGTGTGTGCAAGCGGTATGGTGTCAGGTGAAGCAGTAGAATGCGTAGTCCGCTTCGCCCTCCTTACGGTGTCGATGTTGAAGTTCTTTAAGTTGAGTCTGTTGTTGATTTCCTTGTTGAGTTTTTTCTTTATGACGACTTCTTTTATTTTCTTGGTGACCTGTCAGGGAGATGAGTAGCGGAGGGGGAATAAAATTGTAGCGCACATGGCAGATTGGGTTAGGGGGTATATGCGATTTGCATTGAAGCAGCACAAGTACGTGTCTCACCTTCACCGTTTGCTTCTTCAGGTTCTCCGAGTACTTAGTGACAACCTTAATCCCATTTTCGTAGTTGGTAAAGTAGGACAATTTTTTGTTGCTCTCCAGGTCATCATCTGCGTCTATGTCTTCCCATTTCTTTTCTGCAAAAAAAAGGGACGTAAATGTTGGAGGGATGGAATGAGCACTACAAAAGGGAAACCCATTAAAACAGCTACGTGCACTTGTTTTCTTTTTTTTTTTTTTTTTTTTTTTAAATCCACTAAACTTACTGTTTTCATTTTCATTCTGCGATTCTTCATCTTCTACGTCGATGTCCACCCAATTTTTCCTCTCTGCGAAGGGGAAGAGGAAGTGATACACGGAAGGGAAAGATGAGGATGTAGAAAAAAACAAAAAAAAAGATCAACGGGGGGGGGAGAGATTCCTATGCAACTGTGTCATCATGGTATTCTCATCGAGGAAACATCTTCTCCATCCTCTTTTTCGTTAGTCCATCCCCCCGTTTCTGCCATATTTCATTTGCCACATGACTTTTAAACGGTAGGAACAGAACACAGCTGGGGCTGACGTGGCTACCTGTTTGTATCATCTTGGCGTTGCTGACGCAGCAGCACAGGAGGAGCAGCAGTTAGAAGTCTCTCTTTATGGCAAGCAGTTTTTTCCTACGCATATGCAGTCACATTCGTATGCATATGCTTATGCTCATCCGCGCAAGTATACATATGTGACTGCCAAGGGAATTGTATCCTTTTGGTGATGGTAAATCTCCCTTCGCCTTGTGGCTTTTGCTTTGTTTTCCTCTGAGATTTTTTTTTTTTTTTTTTTTTCACCACATGGTAGAGCGAAATGCTGAACTGTTAAGTCGCATTGCCAAGCGGTGCTCGCTTTGTTCGAAAAAAAAGAAACAATTCTAAATTGGGGAGGGGAGCCGCAAAGGATGCGGCAAAGGAGCAGCTAATAGGCACATGGTGAACGACGCAAGGTCAAGTCGTCCCTTGGAGCCGCCGCTCACGCCGCCGCTGCGCTATGCAGAGTCACCTCGGCAGCGCGCAACGGGGCAGAAGATTTTTTTTGGGGGAACTTTTTTCCTCATGATGTCGCGGGTATGACGTTCACTTGGTTTGCTCGGTCCACCTGATCCGCTTCGCCACCTTCAGGGCGACGAATCGCTGTCGCGCTGAGCGGACCGGTTAAAACAGATATCACGCACTTCATCAACTGGGAAAATTAAAAATGCGAAGAGGTAACCTTCACACCTGTGCAGCCATAAAGCGACGTGCATTGGCGTCGCCCCATTTTCGAAAAAAACCCCCCAAGGGGGAAACACACCACCTGACGGTGAACTCTGAACCACGAATGGGCTGTTTGCACCGATCGGAGGTGGCAACCGGCGAACGGGTGAACAAACCAACGTCTCAACGTCCTTTGGCCGAGTTGACACCAAGGGCTGAAAAACAAACGTAGGGCTTAGCTGTTCATTATGTGTATACACGGTCATGCGGTGAGGAGTGAGAAGAAAAAAAAAAAAAATAAATAAATAAAATAAAATAAATAAATAAAATAAAAAAAAATTAACAAAGGGACAACTTCACATCGTGGTAAAAACGGAAAGCGCAACTTTCCAAATCCTTCCTTTTTCATTTGTTGTTTTTCCCATGCGAGGGGGAGCTTTTTCCAGCCGGAGCAACACATTCCCCATGCGAAAAGAAAGGGCCCCTTTTCCGTGCGGGGTTCCCTCATCATATATGTGCCATGTGCCCACTTTAACCTTAAAGTTGGGCCGCTGAAACGTTCGAGGTGATGCCGAATGGGGGAAGGGCGGAAATGAAAATATCCCTTCTTCCTTCTCTGCTTCGTTCGCTGCTTCGTTCGTTGCTTCCTTCTCTGCTTCGTTCGCTGCTTCCTAGTGTCATTGCAGCTCCCCTCCCTCCGTGGGCATCCTTGCGGGGCTACTGGCACATGAGAATCTGCTGGTAGGAGGCGGACAGGATGTTAGTGAGGCCTGCAGGGGGAAACGGAAGGGGGGAAGACACATGTGTTTGACTGCGTGTATAGCGGTACAGAGTAACGACGTAGCCCCTTCACAACTCCGCCACTCATCGCAGCTGGTAAGTTTACTCACCCGGAAAGAGAACCCTCCGCGGAACGAAAAAAAAGGAAAAGTGCAAGAGCATATACACCGCCTTGCACGGAGCTAAGAGGAAACAAATGGACAAGTAGAGGAAGAGACGCTTCACATAAGGGGGGTAATTGGCATACTTGTACAGGATAAAAAAAAACAAGGAAAATTTAACAACGGATTTTATGTCGCCTAGGTAGTAGAAATTGAACAACTCCTTCAATCTGTCGAGTAGCATATCACTCATTAATGGAAAGTCCACCCCCAGACGGAGTAGGAGCTTTTTCTTATCCACGTGTTGCAGTTCCTCTATTTCTTTCTTTATTTTATCCAAGTTTATCCCCTTAGCTTGTACCATTTTTGGAAATCCTTTGTCGAATTCACTGAACGAGTGAGCAATGTCCTCCTCAGAAACGACATAATTGTGTTTCTCCAAATGGTGTAGCAGTTTTTTATATTCTTCAAGGAGAACTAGATAGCTAACATACTTGACTTTTTGTTCCAATTGTTTTTTTTTTATTTTTTTTTTTTTTTTTTTTTTTTCCCTTTTTTTTTCCCCTGGGTTTTTTTTTTTTTTTTTTTTTTTTCCCATTCATTGGCTGAGTTGTCTTCACGTGAGGGAAAGATATGTGGCAGGATCGTCACGAGGGTTAAATTTATGAGATGCATTTTTATGCCTTTGGTTAACTGTCCGATCGGCAAGTCATCATTTAACGGTTTTGTTTGATATAAAATCTGCTGGAAGGAGGCGGGGATTCCGTGGGCCCGTTCGATCTGTTGCTTAATGTCCCGCACACACTGCTTCTCATGCACCGTCAGGAGGAAGCTGTTGCGGAAGGCGTCCCACTGGTCGTAGCAGCTGATTAGGACGTTCCAGCGATCGGCGGGGGGGCGGCTAGCGGGGGGATTGTCCTGACTGGCAAAGTTGTGTTTATCCGCGGGGCTGCACTTATCTGCACTTCTACACCCCTTGCTTAGCCTGCGCGACATCCCGCTGACCGACACGTCCATGAGGCAACTTCTCTTCGGGGGCCTACCGTACTGGTACCTGCTCAGTTTCACTCCACTGCATATGGACACTAGAACGAAGCAGCACAGGCAGATCGCGGCGTTCCAGCAGTCGCTCTTCCAAACCATTTTAAGGCGCTCTCTCACGGGTTAGCTTCACTGTGAGGGGCGGCTTCACCTGAAGTGCTCGACTTCGTGCCGCAGAGCTGCCTCACCCCCACACACTCGTGCATGAGTACATGAGAGTGCACGTGTGATTCTGCGCCCGCTTGCGCTTCCTCTTGTGCTGCCGACCGCGCCTCGATTGGAATAGCCCCCCCAAGGGCTTCACTGCCGCATTTCGCTTTTTGCGCCAGTTCGTCGTATCTGCCTCTGCCTTATCTGCCTCTTCCTTATCTGCCTCTGCCTTATCTGCCTGTTCCTTATCTGCCTGTTCCTTATCTGCCTTTTCCTTATCTGCCTGTTCCTTATCTGCCTTTTCCTTATCTGCCTGTTCCTTATCTGCCTTTTCCTTATCTGCCTTTTCCTTATCTGCCTTCTTTCCCCCCTGCTTTTCTTTTCCCCCTTCCTTTCCGCTAAAACTTCCTACCGGTCAGGCGGAAAAAAGGAGTTTCACCAGGGGCGATGCTTCGTCGTAACATGGTGAGAGTGGAGTTCAACATGCAGAGCGATCCTTCGGAAATAAGCCAAGAGGCCACCATAAAATGAGGAAGTTCTCGAGGATGCGCAATAGGCACCAGGTTGTGTCAGTTTGAAAGTGGTAGTGTATGTACGAAAGTTGGCTGTTTTATTTATTTATTTTTTTTTTTTTTGCTGACCTGTGCAAGTGAAAAAAGGAGAAAAAAAAAAAAAAATAAATAATAAAACAGCCAAAATGGGACGATATCAAACTTGGCTCAAACGCTGAAAATTTAGGAATATTTCTTTCTAACAGAGGGGAAGCACTTTGTAACTGCTTCTCATGGCAGCTACAATAACCGTAGCGCCGGAGCAAACCGCGGTGGGGCATAGGAGGCCGGGCCTTCCACACATTCGTATGGAGCATCGCAGACCCCTTTTAACGCCTTTGCTTGGCAGAAAAAAATGCTTGATGGTGCTGCCTCTACCGGGGAACATTCCCAAATTGTCTACCTTTCTTTTTTGGAAGGAACCCCTATGTGAGAGCCCACACGTGTATCTTATTGTTGTACATTCTCCACGATGTTTGGCATGCCAATGCGTGTGATGGGGGAAATCCACCGAATGGAAGGTCGTCGTCATGTCCCATTTACCAACGTTTGATGTATTTTCTTCTCCGCCCCCTTCCCTACACACCGTTATTGGCAGCCCCTTTTCTTCCATTACAGCACAACGTATAACTTGTGAAGAAGGTCGCGTTGGGAGAACAACAATGTGCATTTGTTTGGCAGCGCACCATAGGTTGACACGAATCGGGCACAGGGTATTTTATTTACTAACCAGTTAGTATCACTTTATCTGTGCCGTCCCGATATAGTCATCGCTTCTCCCCGCGAGTAACACATCGCATGTGCGATTAGGCGGTTATATTGTGCCGCTATTAGGAACTCCCCTAATCGCTTCAGCCACTCGGGGGAAAAAGGCACTTAAGGCAGCTTACCAGCGTGGCAACAAGTTTAGTGCCGACGAAGGTAGGCACACACGTACACAAAAAAAAAACACAGAAAAAAATGAAATAAAAAAGAATATGAAAAAAAAAAAAAGATCAGCACGGGGTGCAGAAGAAAACACTGATCATTTACTAAATTGGTGAAATGACGAGTTGGCTATGTCCGGCCGACGGGATGAGTAGAGATAGCTCTCGAAGGCGTTTCCCCGCGTCATTCCCATCATTTGGACCATTTCTATCATTTTTCATCATTTCCATCATTTGCACCACTTGCAGCACTTGCACCACTTGCACCATTTGCACCACTTCCACCTCCACTCACCGCCTGCTCATGTTCTTGCATGTCGCGCAAAATCTCCCTCTTCAGCCGCACGAGCAGCTTGTACTCCTCGAAAATGCCGGCCAACTTCGAAACGGTCAGCGCGTTGAAGTTGTCTTCCCCCTCGAAACGCAACTGTAGAGCCTCTATTTTGTTGATAATATTCACACACAGTTTCTTCTCATTAGAGAGTTTGATGAAATCGGTGAGTTTTCCCGCCGCTTCCTGTAGCTTCTTGTTGCTCTCTTTAACTTCGTCCAGGTAGAATTGCTCAGCCTGGGACACCTTTTCTTTGTATTCCTCTTCGGGGATGTTTAGGAAAGTGGACTTTCCGAGTTCCTTAATGAACTCTACACCACTGCAAAATTGAGTGAAGGAGTAAGCTTCTTCTGACACGAAATGGTTCGGGTGTCTGAAGCTTTGAATGTAGGAGATGTTAGAAATGAGCTCTGGTGGGTTGGTCTTGATAATGACGTAGATGAGCACGGGGAGCACTTCATCTGCGCAAGGCAGCAGCTCGTCATCATCCGATTCGGCTTTGGCGACGTCCATTTCAGGTTTGGCGATCTCCTGTTCAGCTTCAGCAACGTCCCGTTCACCTCCATCACGCTGCAACTCCTCTGCGTCACTTTCAACGGTCGTCTCGGCGTTCTCCTGGGTAATCAATGCATCGCTCCGTTTGTCCATCCCTTGTCCCTTCCCCCCCCGCTTGAGCCTCGAACTCTTCTTCGCCGCGTAAACTGCAGAGGTCACGATGCGGCAGCAATTAAGTACCATAATGAGCTTATCATTTGGGGCCCTCATCTTCTGTATTCGCAGGAGTTCCGCCTGTGCCTGGTTTAACCGATCCAATTGAATGCCCTCCGCTATCTCCAGATGCTTCAGTTCTACCCATTGCAAGCAATTTATCTTTGTGTATATTTTTTCGTCTTCGTCTTTGTCCTTAGGCTCCATTCTGTAGACATAGGGATGCAACTTCTGCAACAGAAACTTCTCATACCCCTCAATGATAACATTTGCCTGGTATGTGTTCACATTTTTGTAGATGTCACAGTTTAGAAGAATCGGTTGTGTCTCATTTATGAAGCCATGGATTCTGTTTGCTGCCACTTCTCTGCTTACATCTTTGGGGAACCTCTGAATGAATGTCCTTACCTTGTCTATTACATGTCTGCAAGAGGGATGCTTCAGACTCTCTAGGAAGTTATTGTATAATGTGTTTGGCTTTTTTCTGCTAGCTGAGTTGACTTCCAAGGAGAGTTCGCTCGTTTCTTTTACCATTTTTGTGTTTTTTTCCTCCCACTCCTCGCCTTCGTCTGCTTCTCCCGCTTGTTTCGGGTTTGCGCGCTGAAGCGGCAGTGGTCCGTTGGACCCACCCTCCTGGCTTCTACCCTCTTCCTGACTTCTACCCTCTTCCTGGCTTCTACCCTCTTCCTGGCTTCCACCCTCCTCGTGGGTTTCACCCTCCTCCTGACCTCTCCCCGCATCGCCCCTCTTAATGAACGAAATGAAAATGTCTTTAAATTTCTTTCCTCGCTGTGGAAAGGGGAATCTGAGCCTGAGCCCGTTTTCCTCTACCGGAGAAGATACCTCCACTGCGTTGTTCCCCACACTGTTGGCGCATTTATCGATACGATGAGGGTGCTGCTCCATTTGTTCTGTGTCGAAACTGTCTAGGGTATTGTCGTCCTTCTTCCCTTCTTCCATCACCACCTCCTTCGTTACGCTCTCCCGTCCGATTTCTTCCCTTTCGAGGGAGTAGCGGCTACCATGGCTCTTCCGGCCAAGTTCTGTAGCGGGGTGCTCGTCATTCCCGCTGGACTTCTCACTGGACTTGTCGCTGGACTTCTCGATGGACTTCTCGATGGACTTCCCGCCGAACTTCTCCTTGGAGTGCTTGCCCCCATCTCTGACATCGGCACTTGGATCAACCCCCCTGCATTCAGGTCGGTTGGTTTCCTCCTCCAATGCAAGGTCAATCAAAGGGGGGCTCTCCATCCCATGATGGCGGGGGGAGAAGTGATCCCCTGTTCGTTCCCTTCCGATGTTTTCTAAATAATCTCCTGAGTGCAGCGTCTTCTTCCCCCTCTCCTCCGAAAGGTCGCTCATCCCCGCGATGCGTTCGACTTTTTCCCGTCTTGGGGTTAACTTTGTGTTGTATCCCTTGAGGGGATGCACCCCCCGCGCGTTCACTTCGCTGTGGTGTTTTCCGATGTGCTCACCTTCTTCTTCTTCTTCTTCTTCCTTTCCCCTTTGGAATTTCTGCTCCACCTTTTGGGACACACGCTTTCCACCGCTACTTCGTTGGTGAGAGGTGAGGTCGGGGGGCCTCTCCCTTGGGATAGACTTTGGCACTGCATCGCCGCTGCTTCCGCTGTTGCCGATGCTGCCGTTGCTTCCGTTGCTTCCGTTGCTTCCGTTGCTGCTAGGGGTACCCCCTTTCGGTACCGCCTCCCCCTCGAGTGACGATGACTGCCTGGTGGGCTGCTTCTTCCTAGAGGCGCTTCTCCGTTTGGCCACTCTTTCGGATGGCCTCAAGTGGATGTCCCACTCGAGGGGGTTATTGTCGCCCCTCTGGGTTACAATTCCCGCAGATGCGTCATCTAAGTAAGCCGCCTCATCAGTGTGGGTCGCGTCCCCCTCGTCTTCTGCTCCCACCCCGCTCTTATAATTGAGGTACGCCTTAATTTCGTGAAAAAATTTACTCTCCTCGCTGACCGCCGTGGTGTCGAGAACACGTCCCTCATCATCCGACGAAAACACGAGCTTGTCGTTGTTGCGGCGGTTGTTGCGGCGGTTACTGCTTCTGCTGCTGCTTCTAATGTTGCTGCCGCTAATGTCATTGCTGCTATTATTGTTGTTGTTGCTCCTCTTCTTCTTCATTTGGGTGTGGGCTTTTCCTCTGGCCTCCTTCGAGTCGGCAGAGGGGAAATGCCTTTGCTTCCCACTCGGATCATCACCCCTGCTGTTGCCGCTGCCGCTGCTCATTATAACGCTAGTTTGTGTGTTCGGCTTCCCCAATCGCTCCGATAAAGTGGTGGATACAGATCTCATTAATAGATTTGCACCCCTAACATTAGCAGCTTCTTTTTTTGACTGCATTATTTTTTCGTCTTCCTCTTTGGGATGGTCCGTCTGGTGGCTCCTCAGTGAGCTTACCGATCCTGGCGCGCTTCCATTCTGGTGGCTGCTCCTATTGCTATGATGCAGACTTCCAGTAGAGGCAGTCTTCTTTGTTTGGTTTCTATGCGCACTTGAGGGGCCCCTCCCTCCACTCGAGGCGGCAGCCTCTTTCGTCCTCTTCTGTTTAGTATAGGCGTGACAACTCTCCTTGTTTGTTCTGACTGCCCCACTAGGAGGTTCCTTGCAGTTCGCAGGGTCCTCCTCGCACGGTTCGCTGCGCCCTGCATTCACATCATCCGCGTGGCACATGTCCAGGCTGTGCAGAGAGGCATCGTTGTGTAAAGCGGCATCGTTGTGCAAGGGCGCATCTCTGTGCTTCCCCCCTTGGGGATGACTGCCACGCGAGGCTCCCCCCCCACTTCGCGCGCTTCCGCCAGAATTTAGATCGCCGAAGCCGCCAACCGGACTGCGATCGCCCCAATCTCCACGCCGGTCGCCCTCGCTGGAGGCCTCCCCCCCAGAGCTAAACTTGTAGTTATACAAATTTGTCTTCCTTTTTAGAAGGAGGTCCTCTTCCAGTTGCTGCATCTTTCCCTCTGGGTGACCCAAAGGGTTGCTACTCTCCCACAGATCGAAGGCTGAATTAATTTTGGCTTTCACTTGATTCAGTCGTTGTCCGAGATCTTTGCTTAACACATCCGTTGCGTGGTTGACTGTTTGGTTAATCCGTTCCCCCTTCTGTTTCTCTTTTGTTTTTCTACCCCCCTGGGATAGGATACTCTCATTTGAGTCGAACCAGAGGGCGCTGTCCGGGGAGTTCCGCTCGATGGGGCTACTCACGGGGTCACCCTGGATAGACGTACCCTGCATAGACGTACCCTGCATGGAGGCTCCCTGCATGGAGGATCCCTGCATAGAGCCCTTCCGCACAGAAGCGTGCCGCATAGAGACGTGACGCCTAGCATTGTGGTCTTCCCCCCGCGGAAGGCTCTGCTTCCTGCTGCCTCTTACCAATTTGGCTTCACTTCCGGATGATACATTTCCACTGCTGCCTAAGTGGGGCGCCTTCCCATGACTACCTTCTGAATGGTGAAAAAAGAAATCTCCGCCATTCACTTCTTCACCTCCAATTTTACCATCTTCACGTGGAATTTTGCTTCCTTTTCTTCCCTCTCCTGTGATCTCAAAAGGCATTCCTTCTCCCTCCACCCCCCACTCATCGTCCTCGCACAAATAGCTCCTTGAGTACATTGCTAACCATTTGCTCTTTCACGCGTGGCATGTTTAGTCCGTGCCGCTGCTACTCCTTCGGCGGTTCTCCGATTTGCGAAGCCGACTGGGATGGTGAAGTCAACCAAGATTGCGAAGTCAACCCGGTTGGAAACGTTACAATAGTGTTTCCTTTTAGTCGCCCCGGTTTGGTATCCCTCCCTACACGATTGTGTCGCGCCGGTACTACTCCCTTTGGGAATGCAGCAAACGGGTCGACACGCAGAACACGAAGCGACGTGAATGAGGGAGCAGAGGAACACACTCGCGACTAGCTAGCAAATGCTATACAGGCCGGGAAGAAGCGTTATTAAAAGAATGGGCGTCCCAATCGAGGTGACACTAATTAGGGAGCAGGACAGACGGCATGCATTTACGTCGCGAGTAGTCTGACCACGTCACTTATTCTCATCAGCGGACTAAAGCAAACAACAAAAGAAAAACTAGCGCGATCCAGCACGTAGTAGTTCGTAAGGGTCATCCTGAGGACACAAGACAATCAGGAGTGATCCAGGCGCCACGCGAGGGTTAACGCTGTACTGGAAAGGCACGAGTGTCCCTCAGGTGCCTATGGCGAATTGTACCGCCTGCTCAGTTGGTCAAAGTGAAAAGGGGAAAAAGAAAAAAAGGAAAAAAAAAAAAAAAAAAAAA